AGCTACATGGGGTCATGCATCCAGAGCAGCAATGAGATTATTAACGTTCCCTTTGGTTTGTCCATAAAGGATTTTGTTTAAGCCTTAAGCCATCTTTTCTGCAAACCTGCTTGAGGGAAAACTATGAAGAATGCAATTCTCCCTGAGCCCATGGCAACAAGCCCTATGGCACTGAACTGCAAAAAAGTACAGCTTACCCAGTACAGTCTGTATTATTTAGGAAGATCAGATCACAGCAGGTTAAATACAGCTTGAAAACAAATGGCATTTATGCAAAATACACTAACAAAAAAGAACATATTGGAAATAGAAACCACTTTAAAGGTAACATGCAACTTAACATTAATTCTCAGCTGCATGCAATTAATTAATGGCAGATGAAATCCAATGTTGATAAATATAACGTAACACATATTGGAAAACAATCCCAACTGTACATATAAAAATGGAGTCTAAGCTAGCTGTTACCACTCGAGAGAGATCTTGAAGTCATTGTGGATAGCCAAAGATTTTAATTTAGTATCCATTTATTGTGTGGTGTCATTAATCAATACAGCCATACTACATGCATTAATTGTATGTAAGAATTGATTTGTAGGATAATAGAAGTAGAAGACTGATCAACGGATTTAGAGCAACTATGCAGTAGACATGGGTAAGACAAGCTGAAATGCAAGAATCTGGAGACTGAGGCCTGCAAGATACTAGTTTAGCTATTTCAGGCCTTAAAGAGACAAAGAAATAACCTGAGAATTATGGGAAAAGAGGTACCAAGTGGTAATATTGTCAAAGTTCTACTCTGAACTCTGAAGGTTAAATTATAAAATGCTGTAACAACAAATATTGTCTCCAACAAGCATGTTAACCCTAAGATAAAGTTGATACATCAACCTTAACCAGAACCTACACAGCCTATAGAATTGGAGTACCTTGTGTTTCTAGGGAACAGAGACAAATAAGAAAGGGGATTAACACGTTCATGTACATGTGAAGAATGTACCGTATATTCCGGCGTACAAGACGACCTCTGAAGTTAAAAAACATCCCCCAAAAATCGGGGGTCGTCTTGTACGCCGGATGCCCCACCGCCGGAGCCCCTCCGCGGCTTTGAAAGCCTCGGGGGAAGCCGGCGGCGGGGCATCCCAGGCGCGCATGGGCTGCCCCCCCTCTGGAGCCCCTCCGCGGCGGCGCGGAGGGGCTCCGGCGGGGGGGCAGCCCATGCACGCCTGGGATGCCCCCCCGCCGGCTTCCCCCACGGCTCCAGAGCCCCGGGGAGGGCTCCCGCGGGCGGGCAACCCCTGGGCGCCTCCGGTGGCCA